CTGAATGCTGAATCATGTGGTGTGGTGTCTGGCTGGACTGAAGGTCTGCAGGCACTGCGGCCCTCCAGGACCAGGGCTGGTACAGGACATGATGTGTACAGGTGTGTGTGGAACGGCTCTGATGGTCACGCCCGCTGTGTGTCTGCCTACCGGCCACTTGGTGATGTCATCAGGCCACTCGTGAGGGGACACAGAGGCAGGCTCCAGACAAATCCTGTAAAGAGAACGACAGCACACACCAATCACAAATGAGAAGAGTGACCACACAACAATCACGGGGAAAATGATGAGTATGACTCAACAGCCGCAAAGGAGAAGACACATCAAGTTCAAATGAGAGCACACACAAAAACACACAACAATCACATACGAGATACAGTGCCAAACACCAATCACAGAAAAGAACACAGAGAAGAGCTCACCAATCACATGAAAATACACAAAGGAGAACTCACCAATTACACACAAGAACATAGAGAAGAACTAACCAATCACATAACAGGACACAGAGAAGAGCTCAACAATCAAACAAGACACATCGCTGTCAAGTCTTGCCCTTGTGGTATTATTAGGGGTGGCAGTGTAGCATAGTGGTTAAGAAGCAGGACTCGTAACTGAAAGGTCCTCATGGGGCACTTGGGCAAGGAACTTAACCCACACTTGCCCCAGTAAATAACCAGCTATATAAATGGATATCATTGTAAAAACCTGTAACTGATGTAAGTTGCTCTGGATAAGAGCGTCTAGTAAATGCCATTATAATGTAATGTATTTATTTACATTTACATTTATTCATTTGGCAGACGCTTTTATCCAAAGCGACGTGCAAAAGTGCAAATAGTGCGCAAACAATAGGCAAAAGAGCAAGATGTGTAATTTATGTGTAATATTTATGATGAGGCAGCGATGGCGGTATGTGTGCTGTGTGGTGTACTGCCTCACCTGGGGTCCTGATGGCACACGGAGCCATGCTGGCGCGGTCTGCCGCCCAAGAGCGGGGCGCTGGGGTGACCCGGCCACTTGACCCACACAGCCAGCGTCATCTTGGGTATGGGAAGAAGGGAGAGAGACACAGTCTCAGCGTGGCAGAGCAGGGGAGGCATACTCATTAGATCAATGGCCTGAGTCATCAGCTCACTCGCTCAATCAGCTTACACTCAGACTGACGTTTCTGCAAACACATCACTGCTGAATACTGTGCTCTTTGCCGGCACATAAGGAGGACTTCCCTGCGCCATGCTCTGATTGCACAGTGCTATATCAGTGACTGCGCAGTGGTGTATCAGTGTCTGACTGCATAGTATCAGTGTCTGACTGAACCAAACTGTATCACTGTCTGACTGCGCAGTGCTGTATCTGTCTGACTGTACAGTGCTGTATCAGTGTCTGACTGTACAGTGCTGTATCCGTTTCTGACAGTACAGTGCTGTATCAGTGTCTGACTGTACAGTGCTGTATCCGTTTCTGACTGTACAGTGCTATAACAGTGTCTGACTGCACAGTGCTGTATCCGTTTCTGACTGTACAGTGCTATAACAGTGTCTGACAGTACAGTGCTGTATCTGTGTCTGACTGCGCAGTGCTGTATCCGTTCTGACTGTACAGTGCTATAACAGTGTCTGACAGTACAGTGCTGTATCTGTGTCTGACTGCGCAGTGCTGTATCAGTGCCTGACTGCGCAGTGCTGTATCAGTGTCTGAGTAAACTGAACCGTATCAGTGTCTGACTGCACAGTATCAGTGCCTGATTGCACAGTGCTGTATCAGTGCCTGACTGCACAGTGCTGTATCACTGCCTGACTGCACAGTGCTGTATCAGCACCTGACTGTACAGCGCTGTTTCAGTGTCTGACTGCACTGTAGTGCAGGTGTTTCTCACTGTGCAGTGTGGTGCCAGCGCTTGACTTACAGAGCACTCCTCCACCGACGTCTGTACACAGCCTGAGCGGTCGTTCCGCACGCAGCAGGCTGAGTCGCGCTCCTTCGCCCTCTTCTCCTGGATCAGGTCGTGCACCTGCTTGTCCTGCCGCATGCAGGGCGAAAACTTGGCCCCCAGGTGAATCAGCGCCTCCTGCAGGAAAGGAAGGGCAACTGCAGTCAGGAGGGGAGACACAGCACCCTCTCATTGATCTCACCCTGTCAACTCAAGCCCATTACCAAGAAAAATTCATAATGGTGTAATATACATCAAGTACATCCATATGAGGTAAAGTACAAGGGGTTAGGGAAATGCAGTTGTAACCCAAAGGCTACTGGTTTAATACTCAGGTGAGGTACTGTTCTAGACCTGAGCAGGGCACACAACCTGAATTGTGTCTGTATATACCCAGCTGTTTAAAAGGAACCTAAGCATGCTGCCACGGAGAAGAGCTCCACTTAAATAAAGTTTTTGCTTGATGTTCTGCCTATTAATCTGACCTTTGAAAACTACCTACAGTGGTCCTATGACAAGATAAAATCCAGGGAAAGTATTTGGTTGGACATTGCAAGTTTTCATAGCTGCATACAGCTAAAGACTTTCCCTCGGCTTTATTTACAACAGCCTTTTCCTGAAAACATCTGTCAATTCAAAACTACACTCATGAATCAAATTTTACAGAGATAAGCAGAAGGCCTCTGTCAGCTGTGCTGTTTGAAAGACTGCCCTTACCGAACTTGGTCCAATCCAGAAGTTCTCTTGCTGCACGAACTTGACATTTTCATAGACACCTTTATTTCTTAGGACCTGGAATCACAAATAATAATATTAAAGCTCTAAAATGTAATGTAAGTTAAATATACAGTAAAACATTTTTAGGAATGTGTATTCAAAAGGATTTAAGATGTTGAGATAAAGAGGTCAGAGGGAGGACTTCCTGTAAGATCACTTCTTGTTACAGCAGAGTGTCTGAACAGGAATGGCTGTACTCACTGAATCCACTGTCTCATGCTGGGAGAAGCCCACGGGGGCGATGCCATAGATACACACGGCCAGGATGGTGATCAGCAGGTGGACAAAAGTTATCCAGTAAGTGAAGAAGGGCCTTGTGGGAAAAATCCGAAAGGTGTTACCATTACTGAAAAAATGAGTTTTTCATTTGATTTCCAGAAAATTCCAGGAAAATCACACATGAAACATTTTTTTGGATGAGAGAGCTCTTAAAAATGAAATCTGTCACAGGACCAGGCCCTGAAAAATCCCAATCTGGCTATTTAAGCATCCCCAAAATAAACTGAATAAAATAAATTCCTCCCTCTCCACACCACCTGGTGGGTGGTGAGCATTTTGGTGTGAAATTGCTGCTGTGGTACAGCACACTCATTAAGGTAAGTCTGTGGTCCTGGCCCCCACCTCATTTGTAAGCACACATATAAATATATATATATATATACACATAAATATACTCCCAGCAGCACCTGTGGTCATCCATGTCCTCGATCTGCCTCTTGACGTAGCTGTCGATGCGCTTGTGGTAGGTGCGGTTGGTGAGCCGGCCCACCATGCCCAGCCCGTAGGGCCGCTTCTCGCGGGCGAACAGCTTCTTGACGGGCAGGGCGATGCGCTGGCCCCGCTTCTGCCCGCTCACGCTCACCACCTCCTGCCGCAGCCGCACCTTGGGCGGAGCCGGCGGCATGCCCTCCCGGCTCTTCCGCCAGCCGCGCTCCAGGGGCCTGGGGGAAGGGGAGGAGTTCGGGGGAGGGGTCAGCTTGGGTGTGCTGTCCCGCCCACCGGCGGCAACTGGACAGCTCGGTGGGAGAAAAGAACTAGAGCCAAAAACATGAGAGTAACAGGAATGTACTGGAAAAAGTAAGGTAGTAATAATCAAAAAGGTATTTTTAATAAAAGTAAAGCAGCACTGTGGTCAGGTAGTAATGAGCAGGGCTTGTAACCAAAAGGTTGCTGGTTCGATTCCCCGCTTGGGTACTGTTGTTGTGCCCACGGGCGAGGTACTTAACCCAGAATTGCCCAGTAAATATCCAGCTGTATATATGGATAACATATAAAACTGAAACCTATATTAAGTCACTTTGGATAAAGAGTGACAGCTAAAATGACAATAACAATGTTATAAAAAGTAATAATAACAACATACACAAAACCAATAACAATAAATCTAATAACAACAACAAGAAAAGCAGCAATCAGCTGTGTCGCATAGCGGTAAGGAGGGGAGCTTCTGGTTTGATTCACTGCTGGGACACTGCTGCTGTACCCTTGGGCAAGGTGCTTAACCCACAATTGCCTCAGTAAACATCCAGCTGTAAAAATGGACAAAAAACCGTAACCTATGAATGTTGCTCTGGATAAGAGCATCTGCTAAATGACAATAATGTAATGTATATTATTATTATCATTCACCTGGCAGACACACTTACAGAGGCTAGCTTACACAACCTAACATAGCTTACATTTTACAGGTGGTCCACCTCTATAGCCAGATACTTACAGCATCATTCCTGTTTAAGCATAGTATTATGTCACATACTGTATAACACAGTGTTACAGTATACATTCTGCATGTGCGGTACACACATACAGATGCACATGCATGTATAATGTATGTTCCTGCATCAAATACACATCTATAATGTATGTCTCTTAGCGGGACCCACAGCATCAAATGCCTTCTCTCCAGCTCGTTCTTGTCCAGCGCGCTCCCTGTCAAGTCGTTCTCCTCCGTCACGCCGTTTGGCTCCGTCTCCTTGACGACGGCCACGGGGGGCGTCTCGAACACCTCATCGGCGTAGGTGGACAGGTCTCCCCGCGTGGGGCCGTCCTGGGGGAAAGGTGGGGCGTGTGAGGCTGTGTCAGCGCATGTCAGTGCATGTCAGGCTGTATCAGGGGTACGTGCTTCCACAGTGACATCAACTTTAAAAGTGACTGCTTTACTACTAAGCCTGCTGTTACTGTTATTATTATTCTTAACAGGATGACAACCATTGTTACAGACTTTATAACTGTTACAAATCTAGCTTGTCCATGTTCTCTCCTTATGTGCGTGTTTTGTATATTGGTGGGTGGCAGTGTAGCATAGTGGTTAAGGAGCAGGACTCATGATCAAAAGGTTGCCAGTTCGATTCCACGCTGGGGCACTGCTGTTGTACCCTTGGGCAAGGTACCTAACCCCCAATTGCCTCAGTAAATATCCAGCTGTATAAATGGACAACATTGTAAAAAAAAAAAAAAAAAAAAAAAAAAAAAGTGTAACCTATGTAAGTCACTCTGGATAAGCGTGTCTGCTAAATACCACTAATGTAATATTATCTCGATTATTTTTATTTTTCCGCTATAATATATATGTACATTTCATTACAAAAATATAATTTTAAATAAAAGAAAAACTAGAACAAGCAGCTAAAATACCAAGTACTTGTTACATTTTAAATGGAAAAACAATTAATTTGCAAAAACTGTGATGCTGTGTGTTTTTTGATGTAGTTCCTGTAGGGGGAGGTAGCAAGCATCTCTCACCCTGGTGAAGAATGAGGTGTCCAGGTCTTCAGAGGTGTCCCCACCCTCCTCCTCCAGGAAGCTGGCCGGAGAGAAGCTTCGCCTTTGGGTCTGACACAGGGTCTCCTCCCGCAGCGACCGGCCCTGGGAGATACCATCACACACACAGACATGCATCACTTATCATTAGGGATGTCCCGATCCGATCTACGGCATCGGTATTGGGCCAGTAGTAGCCAATTAGTTGCATGAGCATGAGAGTTAGCTGTAGAATAGAGTTGGGACCGATCCCGTATCGGGTGCCAATACTGACGTAATTGACTCATCGGATATTGGGCTGACGTTACCGATCCACGTACCGATCCAGATTCCATAGTCTGATGTTTTTATGAATTATTAATATGTAATAATGCAATTTTAAGCCGATAGCCAAAATGTTGTAGCACAAATTAATTAATTAATTAGTAATTAACCCTTGCGCACGTAACGTATTTTAATGCTATGTAGCACGCATGTTATGTTACATGGTTCGTTATGTTGTCATTAGCGTTATTAAGCTTCTCATAGTTTTCAGTTAGCATCTGCTATATTTTTAACGTTAAATTGCTGTCTCCTCAAAGCTAAAATTACCTAGAATTTTTTAAATCTAGTGTTCTAATCGCACCGGTTTTAGCATACGCACTAAATGGCTAACCACACTGGTGTGACCGTACGCGCAAAAGGGTTAAACAGTGGTGGCAGCTCTGGTATCGGTATTGGCAGATATCCAAATTCAGGTATTGGAATCGGATCGGAACTGAAAAAAAGTGGATCACTGCATCTCTACTTATCATGCCATCATACACGCAAACACACATGCACCCACACACGTGCAAATGCAAGTGTCACTTCTCTTGTCACACACACACGTGTGCATAACTTACCTTGCTGTTGTGTGTGCGCACACACACAGATGCCACCAACTACTCTGTCACTGTCTCACACACGCACGCACACGCGCGCACACACACACACACACACACACACACACACACACACACAGACTCACCTCACCAGGACACACTCAAAAACAGAAACACATCACAGACCATAGCATACAAACACACAAACACATGCAGTTGACCGACCTTGTCATCACAACACACACACAAACACATACCCATGTGAGTGAGTGAGAGAGCTACTTACTATACATACCCTCATCATGCGCTCTTATTTTAGATTGACTGCAGCACGACAGCAACGCTGACCGCTCAAAAAAACCACACAGCACAGCACACAGAACACAGGGAGGCCCAATGCAGCACACTACGACAGGAGAGTCTGCCGAATAAATTCATCACAGAGCACAGCACAGCGCTGTATGACAGCTTGAAGAATGTGTCTTTTTGAAAACAAACGGTTATGTCTGTTCTGTTAGAACACACTGATGTCACCGTGTTCTAGAATGCCTGGGCAGACAAACGGCTAAATGATCCCTCTGACTCCAGACACGCTGCAATGTCGTCAGCTATTGTCGGTCTGCACAGGTCAAACGTTCGGTCGCCTCGGTCGACGTGTTAATGGAAGCACGATCAATATTTCATGCCACAAGCCAGGCGTGGGCTAAACTGCACACAATGGACCGCAACGGGGTTTTGTTTCTGTTTTTTCATGTGCAAGCGCACGTCAGACCGCGCGGGTGGCGCTAGGCGTCTGCTGGGGGATTCATGAATCACTGTCACATTCTGGTCACATTCAATCAGTCCGATGGCCAGGAAAGTGTTATGGCTCATGACCAATGCAGGGGTAAATCATATGACTGCTCTCAGTGAAGCAAACACCACAGTGGACTCTCATATTTGCAGGCGAGGATCTCTGATTTCTTCAAATTTCCTTAAAGGACACCCAGAGCCTTTCCATTAGTAAATGATAATTAGCATTAGCTAAGTTTTCACTATGCTTGTAAACTTCAATGAATCTCTAGATTCCTGTCCAGTGATCTGAAGAAATTCAGTAAGTGACAATGAACTGCAGGAAATGCGTTGTTGGCCATGCCAAACACACCAAACAAACTCCCCTTCACCAGCTGATTTACAAACCCATGGTACGTCCAACGAGAAACTTTCCCTGGGGTTTATAGTCTCATATAACCGTCCTAGCTGCCTTCCCCGAATAGCCTTTTTTTCTGTCGGAAACAGAGAATGCGTTTTGGACCGCTTGGCGCCCTCGGCCTCACCTTGACCAGAGCGGCGCCGGCGCGGAAGCTCATCTTGGCGACGGACTCCCTCTTGCGGCGGCGCGGCAGGCGGCCGGCGCCCGAGCGGGAGCTGGCGAAGGAGCAGAGCGAGGTCGCGCCGGGCGTGATGGGCGTCTGGGGAACGCTGTGCCCGTCTACCTCCTCCACCATGCGGAACGCCCGCCCCCGCGCCAGCGGGTCTACAATCTGGACGCACAGGGGTACACACACAACAGTAAACACAAATCAACAGGGACTACAATAAAACAAGCATTATGAAAGACTAGTGACTATAACATTGGCAGTGTCAATTAACAGAGCTGCCACACTGACAATAATTCTAACAATGGAAACAGGATTCATATAGTACTAATATAGTGCCTTTTCGTGGATCTTAAAGCCCTTCAAATTTAGTGGAGGCTACTGGGGCAAACACGGGGCAGAAGTTAGATGATGATGCTTAAACCCCCATCACACTGCTCAGTAGCACCCTCTAGTGACTCGACTGGTGCCTACGAGTTCCTCAGATGGTGTTCAAGAGAGATATGGCCATCCTCCAATCAATGTTCACTCTCTTCTGGTGTGTTGTGGTATTCGGGTGTGACAATCAGCCTTTGGCTGCAAACAGTGTCAATGAATGGCGTTTTGATAGATATTGATTTATATGGTGGCTTTTGAGGATCTCAAAGTGCTTTAAAGCGGAGGGGGGGTTTGGAGGTTGCGAGGCAGTATGAAGTCCCCATATGCTGTGGGTGAATCATGGCAGCCATTTTGTTGCAGAACACTTATGTTCATATTCCATTAAAGTAGGTGTCCCGTTCTCCGTACCTTCTGCATGCCGTGCTGGGAGCCGGGCACGTAGAGGGGCGGCGGCGTCTCGGTGCTGGCCATGGAGAGGTTGTCCTGGCTGGACAGGTCCATGTCGCGGATGGCGTGCGGCTTCAGCTTGCCGTAGCGGAGGCTGCAGTGACGCAGGCTCTTCCTCTGCCACCGCTGCGTGGCGTCGCCATCCCGGGTCACCCCGAACCAGTCTGCCGTGCCCCTGTGAGCGAGCCAACGGCGGGGCGCCGCACGGTCAGGCGACCCATCTCTGGAGCTCCAGAACACAGCACTGCATAGATACCATACGCACTGGCCACATATCTGACTCTGTGCAATTAATGTTGAAAGTTCTTATCTTTTCTTTTGTTGAAGCCACAAGTGTTCTGATTGGCCAGCTTGTTATGAACATTCCTGAAGGGGCGTGGTCTAAAACAGAACATCTATAGCTGGCATAGCAATGCAGACAGCATTGGACCCTCCTATCACCGACCAGACCCTTCCAGAGAAGGAGGTATGGAAAGAACACAGGAGCTGAATAGCTGGTCGCAGTATAGATTATCTGTGGCACAGGAGTCAGGTTTGCTATACCGCTCTCCCTCCCCCTAGCCCATCCAATGGTACCTGAGGAAGATTTTGGACAGAGACTGGGGTCTTCTGGAGACCCGGCGCGCTGCTCGCGGACCCTTGATGGGCACAGTGTGTATCCGTTCAAAGTGCACCCTCCTGCTGCTGGAGAGGTGTGAGGCGGGGGCAAGGCAGGAACAGGGCAGGGCAGGAAGGAAGGCAAAAAAGGAAGGAAAGAGAGGAAGGGAGACAGAAAAGAAGAAGAAATGAGACCTGCAGAAAGACAAACTGACAGGCCAGTGCGCAGTGTAAGTGAAATAAAAGGCAGAAGTGTTAGACAATGCATTGCATAAGCCCTGGTGTTTACGGAAGTAAACAGATTCACACACCACACAGACAGACACAGACTTGCACACACAGACACACCACACAGACACACATACACACACACACCACCACACAAACAGACACAGACACACACACACACACACACACACACACACACACAAACACAAACAAATACAGACACAGACACAGACACAGACACAGACATACACACACACCACACACAAACACAAACAAATGCAGACACAGACAGACACAGACACAGACACAGACACACACACACACACACGGTTTCTCACCGAGACCCGACTCTGAAAAATCATATCCTGCCCATGCAGGTGATAACGATTGTATCTGCGGCCACACGTAAGGCACGCAGCGCTCTTTCAATCGCCGGCGTCAGGAGCGGTACATCCTGTTCCATCCAGGAGCCCGTTTCCACATCATTAAAATGTAATGCTGCATTACAGAAATCAATACTAATCTCGCGTGCCAGCCCCGTCAAACGCTCACTGTTGTCAACTGAACAAATGAGTCACGAAGAAACTGTAGAGCTGTCCACTGAAATCAATAGAGAATAACACACTGCGTGAACTCACCCAGTAAAGCTTGTGATCCTCCTCATACCCAAAGCTTTGGGACAGGAAGAGACCGCCAATGTCACTCCACTGTGTGCAGTGGACCCCTTGAACAAGGCAC